GGTACAGCGCCTAGCACTACTGCAGTGCACCTAATAAATAAGGTACAGCGCCTAGCACAACAGGGCCATACTGTAATACACCTAATAAATGTCAGCTAGCCCCAGATTGACTGGGTACATGTCGCTCCAGGATGGGATGCAGAGACAACATTTCTTGACACCTGACACTCCCGTCTGCTCCAACAAAGACCCAGGGTCTGAATTACTTGCCCCAAAGCTGCAGGTTTACTTGAAAGCAGCTAACAGAAGTGTTCCTGTCTTTAACACTCTAGCCTTGGCTACACTTGCGAGTTGCAGCGCTGTAAAGGCTCCCCCAGCGCTGTAACTCACTCCCCGTCCACACGGGCAGGGCATTTGCAGCGCTGTATCTCCGTGGTTGCAGCGCTGCATGTACTCCACCTCTCCGAGAGGAATAGCGAGTGCAGCGCTGCGGCGCCAGTGTGGCCGCCCAATGTGCTGTCAATGGCCTCCAGAATTATTCGGCAGTATCCCACAATGCCTGTTCTAGCCATTCTGGTCATCAGTTCAAACTCTACTGCCCTGGCCTCAGGTAACCAATCATGTGACCGACCCTTTACATTCCCCAGGAATTTAAAAAATCCCCTTCCCGTTTGCTCAGCCAGGCGTGGCGTGGAGTGCTATAGGCGAATCTTTCCAGGTGACCCTGCCTCCACGCACCAAGCGAGCCCCAGCATGGAGCAGTGGCGAGTTGCTGGACCTCATCAGCATTTGGGGGGAGGAAGCTGTCCAGTCCCAGCTGCGCTCCAGCCATAGGAATTACGATACCTTTGGGAAGGTATCAAAGGGGCCATGACCGGGACGCCCTGCAGTGCAGGATTAAAGTCAAGGAGCTGCGGAGTGCCTACCGCAAAGTCCGCGACGCAAACGGCCGCTCGGGTGCTCCCCCCGCGACTTGCCGATTCTACAAAGAGCTGGATGCGATACTTGGGGTTAACCCCACCTCCACTCCGGGCACCACCATGGACACTTCAGAGCCGGTGGTGGGGGGGGAGGAGGAGGAAAACAGGAGTGATGGTGGTGGGCCAGATGGAGACACCCTGG